ATAGGCACATTTGGAATTTTTAAGAAATGAGGTGTTTGTGACTTTATAAAAAAAAAAGACAGCTGTGCAACCATGGCAAATCAAAAACTGCCTACTATGGGAAAATGGCCAGTCATAACGTTTAGGGTGCCTTTGGGTTTCCCACAGACAAAATCTGCATCTCAGAGACAAAGAGACGCAAGGGCTGATGACATTTGTTTATCCGCAATACTGAAGATGGACTAGCAGTTGGATCTGGGGCAACAGGGATGTGCCCTTTGGAACTCTTGGACTACAAATCCTATAATTCTCCATTCTGGGAGGTTCACTTGACAGGCATCTAATAGTGAGTCACCTGAAAGAAAAGACGGCTTTGCAGCCTTGCTCTGACCTAGCTTCCTGTTCATAAAGGAAGTTCTCGGGCAACTTCCTTTCTGAACAGGAAGCTTGGGCGGAGCTAGTCCTAGCTAGATCTCAAAAAGCTTCAGGTTTAGGCCGTTCTCCCAGGCGAGCGACATTTAGGTATCTTTCTGTCAAGTGGAGAATTATGGGATTTGTGGTCCAAAAATGTTAAATGGCTCATCATGGGAGTAGGCCGACTCTGCAGTGTGTGGAGGTCCTCCTGCTCCGTTCGTTCAGTGAACGCTCTGACCTCTGCCCTAGCAGCAAGCACCACCATTGACCCCTGCCTCGTGACTTACCTCCGTATTGCCCCATCTGTGGGGAAGAGAGCGAGATGAAGGTGTCCACATTGTGATCAGGCATTGTGGAGAGAAGGGCACGACAGATAAGTCCTCCTGCGGGGGAAAAAGGCAAAAGGAGTCAATTCCCACCCTGTTTCCCCCCCCTCAAGGAAAGTGACATCCTAAGCAGTGTTTGGTTTTCTGAAACTTTAGTCTAAAGTAGCTGTACCCCCAAGTTAGTTCTAACTTTTTGCAGGGTTTAAAATTCCCAGAAGTACTTTAGAAGTCCCTCCAACTGGATGGGATCCCCTGGGGCTGTGCAACTTGCCCAAGGCCACGCTAATGGCAGGGCCCTCTTCTAGAAGGCATATGGGAGATTCAAACTCCCAGCTCCTGGCCCTGCAGCCAGATGCTCCAACCTACTGAGTCCCGCATGAAGCTTTAATATGATTTATTAACATATATCGATTTCCTACCTGCTTTGACACCACCGGTAAGCAATCTGTTTGACATCTGTATGTCTCTCTGACAGGTTAGATCCTTGGAGGGCTGTATCCTCGACATCTGTGTCCCCTTTTCCCCCTTCTTTGTCTCCCACAAACACTTTTAACGACACTAATGAGCAGGGCGGCTGGGGGGGGGGCAGAACCGTACATTTCCTTCCTGACTCTGCAAAATTGGCTGTGATGTTCTGAAATCAACTGCATGACCAATATATATGTCCGTGAATACAAGGACTTGGAAATGTTCCTTTTAAAATAAATACTGGCTGCAACTCTGTTGATGTCGATATAACCTAAAGTTGAATCTGTGGAAATGTGCAGGGAACGTGCATTGCACAATCGGAGGGTTCAGCTGATTGTTTAGCCTTTGAGTTCCGCAGGCGTAACAAAAGAACTGGATTTCAGGCAACGCGTTCATTTTATATTTATTCTATTTAAAATATTTTTCCCCTGCCTTTCTCCTTACGAAGGAGCCAAGGCAGCTAAAAACAGTAAGTATACAAATGCGAAAAAGAGTCAAATACCAAAAAACACACTCAAAACAAGGCACAACTACACATTAAAAAAAAACCCACTCAAGCAGCCTGTTACTAAGGGAAAGCTCGCCTGAAGAGAAAGGTCAGTATTACTTTTTCCAAACTAATCTGTTAACTATTACTAACTTCTCAGCAACTGTGAACATTTTTTCTTAAAACAACAACAAAACAGCCAAAAATCTCCCCAAACAATTCCACTCACATTAGCCATTACATTAAAAAGGTAATGTTATTAGTAGTTCTGGATGATTTCCAAGACTTAACAAAAACCTACAAAAGGGTAATCACTCCTAAATTTGGAGAAACTAACGAACACAGGTTTCTGGAAATACAATCCCTTCTCTAAGACCCTTCCCCCCAAAATGTGTCCCTTTAAACAAAATTAGAACTGATTCTCGCTCCCCTGGCGTCACAGTACCTAAAATTTGCACTGGGAGGAAAGATCCCAGTTCACAGCTGGTCTGACCTCTTGGCTGAGATTCAGAGGAGGTTGTGAACTAGGCCGGGTCTCAGGCTCCCAGCCAGCAAATTCGCTACTCAGACCTTGCCCGTGTGTGTGATAAACCTCTTAGGCTTTTAGCCTCAGGCCTCTCTGTCTGCCAAATGGAAAGTGGAAGGGCGGCTGAGAACAGAATGTAACGTCGGTCGTATTTTGGTTGGTCGTATTTTGTCATCCCAGAAAACAGCCCATTATTATTACTAAGCACTCAGATAGGGTTTACCCTTCTCCCTTCTTCTGGGGGGGGGGCATCCTGGGACAGGGCAGCTGGCCCAAGACTACACA